ATATGTCTCTACTTAACTTTTTGCACATATGGAATACAGTTAAAATAACTGTTTTAATGTCCTTCTGTCCTAATTTTAACATCTATGTCACTTCTGGATCCATTTTGATTGGTTGGTTTTTCTCCTCTTAATCGGTCATGTTTTCCTGCATGCTTAGTAATCTTTTACTAGATGCCAGACATTGTGAATTTTACCTTTTTGGGCCCTGGCTATTTTTGTTTCTCTGTATATATCTTTGTGCTTTGTTCTGGAATGCAGTTAAATTATTTGCAAATGATTTTATCCTTTTGGTTCTTGCTTTTAAGATTTGTTAGGTAAAACTAGAGTAGTATTTAGGACTAATTTTTCTTCACTACTGAAGCAAGACCCTTCTGTTTACTCCACACAGTGTCCTGTGAATTATGATATATACAAGTCTGGTTGGTAGAAATAGGTGCTATTCCTTGTCCTGTGTGAATGCCAAACACTGTTCTCTCTAATCCTCTTAGATGGTTATTTCCCAGTCTCTGGTAGTTTCTTCTCATGCATGTGCCCATCAGTAATTTACTGAACACTTGAGGGCATCCTCCACAGGTCTACAGCGTTCTCCATCTCTATAGCTCCCTTCTTTCCGATACCCTGTTCTACAAATTCTAGCTGCCTTGGTCTCATTGTCTCCCAGCCCGTGTTGGTAGGTTCTAAAGTCTCATCAGTCAAGTGTAAGTCCTCAGTTCTGCCCACATTATGTCTCAAAGAACATTCAGATCTAGCTCTTTATAAAAAAGAAAATATCTTCACTGAAATCTGTTCATGAATACACAAGGATTCCAAACATTTCTTTTTCAATTAAGTTGCCTTTCAGTAGATACAGAACCCATGTTGAATAGAAGTTCAGGAGTCCTTATTCTCTCTTTCTCCATAGTCCCGGCAGTCTTCTCTACGTCTCTGCCTCCTCATTAAGGTCCTGCTCCCTCCTGGGAAAGCCTAGATGTCCACAGGGACCTGATGGCCAGGCTCCATCCTAGAAGGGCAATGTTTGGTTATTACAATTTCTTAGACTTATGCTCCTCACACTCTTCAGAGTAAAGCATGAACAAGACCAAAAAGCTTCCCTCTTGCTGATATGGACCTGGTCTTGTAAGACAATTTTGGTGCATTTAACAAAGCATCTGTCTCTTTATTCTGTCTTACCAAAGATTTTCTCCACCTGCACTTAGAAGTGGAAGAAAGAAGGGGTGAGGAGAAATAAAAGTCCCCTTCTGACTCAGAGGTACTATTCTTCAAGTTAAATAGGTTAAGTAGACTCTGAAGGTCAGGCTGAGAAATTCACTACAATTAATTTGGTAGGGGAAGCTCCTGCATTCCAAACAATAGCATTTTGTTGGGAACTCTGTAGAGAGCATAATAAACTGCAATATGGAAAAACTGTAGTGTCTAAGCAAACAATGAAGTTAAAAGAGATCAATTTATCCCAAATGTTTTACTTATTTTTTCACATAGAAAAATTTTTCTTTATGTAGGCAAACTTATGAATCTTTTCTGGGAGGTAATATTTAACTTAACTCTTAGTTTCTCCGCTTCTCGTCAACAATTCGACTTCATTAGCTGGATTCACATCATTTCTTGAAAAACCAATCAATGACCTGTAAGTCAAGAGACTTGCATAATATGCTTAGCCATTGTCATTCTGTAATCTTAGACAAGTTCTTTCACCTCACTGAGAGTGGTTTTCTTCATCAGTAGAAAGAAGACTTAGTGATCCATAGAATTCCTTTGTCGTGGTTTCAAAATATGTCCGCAAATCCTTTACTACTTCTCCCTTTAAGAAGTGGAGCTTAATTCCCCTCCTACTGAATGTGGTCTGGCTCACTTCTAATGAATATAGCAGAAGTGACGATGTGTCACCTCCAAACCTAGGTCATAAGTGCATTGCAGATTCTTCCTTGCTCTCTCTCTGGAATCCCTTGCTCTGAAGGAAGCCATCCTCTATATCATAAAGAAACTCAGGCAGTCCTATAGAGAGGTTCATGTTGCAAGAAACCTCAGCCTCCTACTGATGGCCATGTGAGTGAGCCATCTTAGAAGTGGATCCTCCAGCCCCAGTGAAGCTGTCATATCATTGCAGCCCTGGTTGATATCTTCACTATAATTTCATGAGACACCATAAACCAGAATCACCCAGATAAGCTAGTCCCAAATTCCTGACCCTCAGAAACTGTGAGATAATAAATGTCCATCTACTATGCTATTAGGTTTTGGAGTAATTTGTTATGCAGCAATAGAAAACTAGTATGTCCCTGTGAGCTATACATCTTTCCAGTTTATGGTTCTGTAATTTAAATGTAGGAGGATGTATCTCTAGTTAGTTGCGCATTGCTTTTATTAATACTTTACAAACTGCTTTGCCTGTTATATTTAAAAACTCTTCCTTTAAGAGCCTACATTTCCTACAAAAAAACATTTTAAACCAAAAATTAAACAATATTTTTGAATAGAGATTTTTTCAATTGAATATTTACTATTTGGGTAGCTTATGAGTTTAGATAAGATGGGACCTGGGGCGGTTTATCACCTTCCATAAAGTTCGGGAAAGGGCTCTGAGATCTTTGGAGGACCCCTTGACAGTGTATGCTATGTGTTGTGTTAAGAGCATTTTCCGAAGAAAGAATGTGTATAGTTTTTACCAGCTTTTCATAGAGTCTTTGATCCCTCTCAACTCTTTTAAGTCAAGAACCACTATCTGGACCACATCAACCATTTCCACCTGTGGGAATTCAGGTGTAGAGTGGTAACTTAAACCCACAGAACAGAGATCTTCTGACTCTTAGCTCAGTACTCACAGACTCCAGCCTGAGAGATAAATCCTACCCGTAAGAGGCAGCACAGGGCGGAACTGGTCTTTGCCATGTTCTCAAGTGCCCAGACCCTCAAGACAGATCTTTTCACTTACTATTCTGTTGTTGCATCTCTTCTTCCCTTTTTAACTCATCATAAAAAAGGCCCCCCTTGCTCTCAGGCCTTTTGGCTTGGTTTCTTTCAGTTAAGCCCCTGCTTTGAAACCCACAGGAACTCAACCAAAGCACTTTTTCACCATGGTACCTACTGGAACCTAAAATTACATTATACTTCTATGACCTGGTTACTGTTGATATATCACTAATATGTTTCCACAGTATTTTTTGAAACCTTCACCTCTTACCCATTTCTTATTGAACCAAGCCTGATATGAATACTGTAATAATAATAAATGAGAGATTTGAGTTGAAGGACTAAAAATCAAAGTCAAGTTTTAATATATACATGTGTGTGTAAGTTCAGGATACATTCTGCCTATTTAGAAATTAGCAATTAATAACAACCACCCACAGATGCCTGCAAAATAAGTCTAAATCCTTGAATCCTTGACTGGAGAATTGGAATTTACCTTGCATTCTTCTTATACTCTGCATAGCGCTGGGCATTCATCAGGTTCTCTTTAAATACTTTATCTCCAGTCGCATTAAGCACTCACCACGAGCAAGCCTGGGCTGATTAAAACTAAGGGAGCCTATGTTATAAATGGCTGGGCCTCATGGAAAAAGTATAGGGAATCCTGGCTTTACCATTGACTTTTATGCCTTAAGCTATCTGTACTTCAGCCTTCCCAAGACACTGGTCCCATATAGCTTTGCCATTCATTTTTACCATCCCTATGTATTCCAGGACACAATCTTTTTGCCATGGCCAAAACCAAGTCAGAGAAGCCAAGATTTGAAACTACAGTCCTGGGAAGCTAGGGATGAAGAACCTGCACTGACACCATGAACTGCCCATGAGGCCTGAGCTTGACTCCTGGCTGTCCCTCCTCCCATTAGCTCCAGAAGACATCTGTTTTTAGCAGTTCCTGGGCTTGGACAAATGACCTAACATCATCTGGTCCTGGCCAACATTCAGGGGTTCTGAGAGAACACTGCCCCTCCTCCCCAAAGGTGGAAACAGAGATCCTTGGAAACATTCCCAGAATCTCTGAGTGTTAATGTTCCCTGCAAGTTCTGTGTTATATTCTAACTTATAAAACAATACTGTAGCGCGAAGATAAAGTTAAATGACTCAAGTGGTAATCAAGTAAACAGAAAGATACGAATATATTTGGCAGTAAGAAGGACATATTTTAAATTTTGGTGATTTTTTAAAAAAGTAAAAACAGCTCTATATTTAAAAGTAAATTCCAAGGTAACAGATCAGCCTTGTCTCAGTAATGGCAGGAAAATCCTTTGACAAAAAAAAATTAAAAACCATTTAGCCTTTTTAAACTTCCAAGGGGTTAAATTTAATTATGGATGGCAGCTAAGAGCAGAGAAAAGATCCTTTTTAAAGAATAATGTATTCAGCAAGTTACATATACATATGTAAACAGGGAGAATATAGGAGAAAAAGGAAAGGGGTGGAGAAACTCTTGGTGGTGTTCTTTGAATCTACTCGGAAACCCTTTCTTCTGAAAGTTCAGAAGTTCACTGAAATGAAGTAATCTAAGAAAACATATGCGGTTTTGGTGATATTATCAAGTCTACACCTTGAATAAGAGGTCAGCTCAGCAGATTGAGTCAGTAGCGTTAGGCTCTTACCACTTTTGCTATCTACAAATTGCTTCAAATGGGACTTTTCAAAGTAGAGTCAAAATATGTACAATGGCATTACAAATTATTTTTATAATAGTAATGTAACTCTAAAACAGTGACTTTCACTAGGAGAGCTGTCTAAATTTCAGCTTTCTAAAAGGACTAGATACTTCGATTTTGCATGCAAAAGACACCATGCATGCATTGAGTGTGAATTACAAAATAAAAGGGAAATATGCATAGCAAAAAAAATGAAAGTAGATAAATAATAGGTATAAATTGTGTGTTTTTTACATGCTATTATTAGTGGTCAAGAAGTCTTTACTATTAAAAAACCAAGCATATCAATTGGTCCAGAGCAGTTCTACTACCCTGAATCAAATGATGACTAAAAATATTTAATTTTACTCTTTTATTTTGTAGGTATTATTACTTGGCATTCAGAGCACATCAGACACCTCTTGCTAGCAAAGAGAGCTGTATCGCTATCTTGGAAAGGTCCAGATTAGATCACTGGGTGCTAGGAAAAACAAAGGTATTGTTTTCTTTATTGTTCAGATTGTCACCTGTGATGCCCTTCTGTTTTCCTTTATCTCTTGTCATAGTATAAATGGCTCTGTAAATTGTGTAGTTTAGCAGACAAGATCCCAACCTAACAATGATCTTTGCTGGTCTTGGGTCAAAAGTCCCCTGGCCTCAGGAACTAGAGGCTGAGTGTTTACTTCTTGTCCTGTATATAGTTGGACAACCATTTAGCCTTTCTATAATGAGAACTTTAAGCTCATTTTAAAATGTCCTTTTAAAAAAGCCACCTATTTCAGCACCACGTGTAAATACACAAATCATATTAATGACAATGATGAGTTTCTTTTAGAGTTTAATCCATTTTTTAATTAGATCCATGTTGTGTTATTTACTGAGTTCCCTGATGATTAGTCTCATCGTGCGTAACTTTTCATTTGGGGGAACATCATGTCCCTGCAGGATCCCGTGGTTTAAGGGTTCATCCTGACTTGCCCCACAAAGACAGCCTTAGCCTGAGTGGTGATGGCCAGCACAGTGGCTGCTCAGCAGAAATTAGATCACTGAGGCTTGTCCAGGCCCTTCTCCCTCCTATCTTCCACTGTTGGCCTTGGGTCAGTTCTGTTGGTTAGTACCTCCACCAGAGGCTGTCTAGAAACAGAGTAGAGATCAAGCTGAGAAAATGGAACTCTTGGCAGAAATGAGGCAGGCCTGGAGTGTATTTGGGATCTCCTAAAACCCTATTAACCTCAGCATCTGTTTACATCAACAATAAAGGATTGGCTCAACCTTAGAAGGGGAATTGTATTTGCCTCCAAGAAGTCCATAATATTAGCATAAATTAAATCACTGCCTTTTCACTGTAAGCTTTACTTGAATAATGATATTAATATTTATAATTAACACTATGATGAAGTAGAGTGAATTTTTGTTTGGGAGCTCATGTGTAATGCTAAATCTAGTGTCTCCTTTCAGGTTTTTCTCAAGTACTACCATGTCGAGCAATTAAATTTGCTGCTGCGAGAAGTCATAGGCAGAGTGGTTGTGCTGCAAGCTTATACCAAGGGGTGGCTTGGAGCCAGGAGATATAAGAGAGTCAGAGAAAAGAGAGAGAAGGGGGCCATTGCCATCCAGTCAGGTAAATGCTCCAGTTTTCATAAATACCATCCTGAATCTTGACATTTCAAGTTGTTAAGTACTGGGGGCTACTCACCGGTTGTGTTTCTCAGTGATTTCCTCCCTTTCTCCCTCCCTCCCTTTCTTTCTTTTTTCAGCAAATGTGTATGAGTGCCTACTGCAGGCCAGGCCCAGTGCTAGGAGGTAGGGGTATAGCAGTGAACAAGACCACCGCTATGGACTCCGACCTCACAGATAAACAAACAAACCATTGTAATTCACTGTGATGAGTAGCAAGATAGAGGCAGAACAAAGTGCACGATGTAAAATCCAATTCACACAGACATGTGCTCCATCTCCCAGATAAGTAACATAATATACATTGCATGTCGATTACCAGTGTTCAGCATCAGAATTACTAATACAGTTTGTAGAAGGCTTTACTAGCACAAACGATGCTTACAAACCAAGGGAACAAATAGCTAGGCTCTTCCATACGCCCAGCCCTGCCAGTGCTTCTTTGCACACAAGTATGTGTCATTTATGCTACAAACAGCATTTAAGTGCCTGTGCCATTGGTAAGTGGTTGTGAACATGCCAGATCTGGAACATAAAGGATGATTTCCTTTGTGCTTTTGTAACCTAGAATTAGAGGTGCCTTAGTCCACTCAGGAGGACCTCATGACCTCATTTGACAACTTGTAGTTGTGACATTCAGACCAAGCAAGGTAGGGGAGCAGAAAGGAGAGATACTCATACCCCTGGTGAGTTGCTTTTCATCTTCCAGTTCTGTATCTAAAGAACTCAAAACATTCCCAGAAATCCCCTCCCACTTTCTCTTCTCTTTCTCTTCGATGGTCTTCCCTTCCCATCGTGCAATTTCCCCTACCTTAGCACAGTTCTTGGCTCATGGTTCACCCTCCAAAATTGGTAGTATTGTGCTACTTATTATTCCCTTTTACTATCCTCTCTATTTTTCTCTTCCCCTCAACTTTCATGTTTATACCTCTTCTTTCAAATCAAAAGGTCATGCTATTCCAGTTCCTTCCCATCAACTCCCCAACTCCCTGTCCCCAAGTCCTGAAGACAGGATTTACGGCAGGAATTTGGATGACAGAGAACCACCTCACGTGGGATGGGGGTCCCATATGGTTCCTAAGTGAGATTCAGAGTGTTCTCGGATACTCAGTCCCTGCACCGAAAGAACCCCTCTCAGAAGCATCTCAGAGGCCAAGCTGTGAGGACAGAGAGGCCCCTCTTCCCCACCATAACTCACGTATCTCTGCTTATTTTGTTCATTGAGAAAGCAGGGGGGAGGGAAGAGAGTGGTAATAGGTTGGAGGGAAAACAGCTTATACCAATTCTCTGGCACGTTCTTAAATTAATGTCATGCCTAGCACATGGTTTTGTATTTTTAGCCTGGAGAGGATATGATGCTCGGAGGAAATTTAAGAAAATAAGCAACAGAAGGAGTGAGTCTGCTGTTCATATTCAAGCAGGTAATTAAAACATCATTTTCATAGTGTCCATTTGAAAATATTCTGTGATTAAGTTCATGTGAGTTTAGAAAAGCTAAAAGGTTAATAATTCAGGAGCACTGGAATATGAGTCAAGAAGTTGGGGGTGCTAGTGCTTATTTTAACACAATCTCTGTGAGATAATAATGATGTCAGGCATGTTGATGAGAATGCTCTGAGTAGTTACTCTTATTTTCCCCATTTTATAGAGGAAGAAACTGAGGCAGAGACTTGTCCGAGGTCATACAGCTAGTTAGTTGCAGAGCCAGCATTTGAATATGGGTGGTTTGGATACAGAGCCAACTTCGAATACTTCCAGTTGAATACATCTCTTTCCCTCTTGGAGTCATACTTTCTTTATCTGTGAAATAAAGGCACTAGCTAAAAAAAGGCCTGGAAGGTGCCTTCCAACCCTGGAATTCTCTGATAATATGTAACGCCTGTTCCTCGGTATCACCATGGTAGAAATAACTCGATAACTTTCCAAGTCAACTGTCAAAGAGCAAACTAGACCTTCTGTTAAAATTAAAGCAAAGAGATGTATTGAAGGAACAGAGCAATCCAGATAGGGCAGCACTTCATGAGAATTCACAAAAGCACTCCAGCGAAAGGAATTTTTCAGAGTTTAAGTACAGAAAATCCAGGAACTTAACAAGGAAAAAATTCTGATTGCTTGACATTTACAAAATTATGATTTAACAGGTACCGGACACTTGCAAGCTCCCTTAAGCATGTTTTGTTAATCATAGAGTTTAAGTCAGTTAACTTCTTTTTAATCTATGGATGTTTGGGGGACAGCCTGAGTGAATACTCTTCCTGGGAGTAGTCTGTGAGAGGAAAGGAGAGGAAGGGAGGAGAGCTCGAAAGCTTCCTGAGGTATTTTGGCAAGCTGACTTTTGAAAGTCAGCTAAGAATGAGCAGTAAACAGCAAAAATGGAGTCCAGCCTATATCTTTGGCAGAAGCCTCTCCTGCCAGACACCTAGATTTTTAGAGTTCCTTGAGAACTCCCACCTTCTGATCAAGAATTGCTTTAGAAATTCACTGATCACTGCTATAAGAGTGACTTCTTCTGCATGGACTTATTTTCCTTGCATTATTTAGATGCCTACCTATTTAGAATAGGCTTTTAAGACCCCACACATAGAGTCAGGCACCATCTCTTTAGCGGGGGCCATTTCTTTTGATAAGCCTTTAACACTCCAGTTGCTTTCGTGCAGAGAGCTGCGCAACGCTGATGATGTCTTTGCCATGCCATAGCTCAGACCTCTGCTTCTGTGGTCCTTTAAGACGATGTGTGTAAGGATAGGTCCAAATTAATAGGACTACTTGGCAGAGAGGGGCATTGGCCAAGGTGAAGAGCTGAACTATTCTCTAAGGAATTGCTGTTTCTTCAAAATTCATGATCTTTTGCATAGCAAGTAGTGTTGCATTGTGAGTACAAGCATTTGAAAAAAACATTTCATAAAACATTTGGCATTAATCCAATAATAAATATTATAATGATTAAGAGAATTAATCCACTTTGTAAAATTGAGTGTACCCAAGAACCAATTTCATTAGGTGTTGTCATTGTTAGATGCCATCAAGTCAGTTCTGACTCATAGCAACCTTATGTACAACATAACTAAACAATGCCCAGTCCTGCACCATCTTCACAATCATTGATATGTTTGAGCCCATTGTTGCAGCCACTGTGTCAGTCCATCTCGTTGAGGGTCTTCCTCTTTTTCGCTGACCCCCTACTTTACCAAGCATGATGTCCTTCATCAGTGACTGGCCCCTCCTCATGTCATGTCCGAAGTACGTGAGACAGAGTCTCGCCATCCGCACTTCCAAGGAGCACCATGACAGTACTTCTTCCAAGACAGATTTGTTTGTTCTCCTGGCAATCCATAGTATATTCAATATTCTTCACAAACACCATAATTCAAATGTATCAGTTCTTCTTTGGTCTTCCTTATTCATTGTCCATCTTTCACATGCATATGAGGTGATTAAAAATTCCATGGCTAGGGTCAGGTGCACCTTAGTCCTCAAGGTGATATCTTTGCTTTTTAAAACTTTAAAGAGGTCTTTTGTAACAGATTTGCCCAATGCAATACATCGTTTGATTTCTTGACTGTTGCTTCCATAGGCGTTGATTGTGGATCCAAGTAAAATGAAATCCTTGACAACTGCAATCTTTTCTCCATTTATCATGATGTTGCTTATTGGTCCAGTAGTAAGGATTTTAGTTTTCCTTATGCTGAGGTGTAATCCAACTGAAGGCTGTAGTCTTTGATCTTCATCAGTAAGTGCTTCAAGTCCTCTTCACTTTCAGCAAGCAAGGCTGTGTATCTGCATATTGCAGGTTGTTAATGACTCTTCCTCCAATCCTGATACCACATTCTTCTTCATATAGTCCAGCTTCTTGGATTATTTGCTCAGCGTACAGATTGAATAGTATGGTAAAAGGATACAACCCTAATGCCCGCCTTTCCTGATTTTAAACCATGCAGTATCCCCTTGTTCTGTTTGAATGACTGCCTCTTGGTCTATGTACAGGTTCCACATGAGCACAATTAAGTGTTCTGGAATTCCCATTCTTTGTAATGTTATCCATAATTTGTTATAAGCCACACAGTTAAATGCCTTTGCATAGTCAATAAAACACAGGTAAACATCTTTCTGGTATTCTGTGCTTTCAGCCAAGATCCATCTGACATCAGCAGTGATATTCCTCCTTCCATGTCCTCTTCTGAATCCTGCTTGAATTTCTAGCAGTTCCCTGTCGATGTACTGCTGTAATCGTTTTTGAATGATCTTCAGCAAAATTTTACTTGTGTGTAATATTAATGATATTGTTTGATAATTTCCACATTCTGTTGAATCACCTTTCTTTAGAATAGGCACAAATGTGGATCTCTTCCAGTCGGTTGGTCAGGTAGCTGTCTTCCAAATTTCTTGGCATAGATGAGTGAGCTTCCAGCATTGCATCCATTTGTTGAAACATCTCAATTGCTATTCCATCAGTTCCTATAACCTTGTTTTTCACCAGTGCTTTCATGCAGCTTGGACTTCTTCCTTCAGTACCATCAGTTATTGATCATACGCTACCTTCTTGAAATGATTGAACATTGATGAATTCTTTTTGGTACAGTGGCTCAGTGTATTCCTTCCATCTTTCTCTTCTCCTTTTTGTTCGTTTTTAATTTCATTGTGTCTTAGGTGGAAGTTTACAGTGCAAATTAGTTTCCTATTCAAAAATTTATACACAAATTGTTTTGTTACATTGGTTGCAATCCCTGCAATGTGTCAGGACTCTCCCCTTTCCTTTTATACCCCAGATTCCCCGTGTCTGTTCTTCCAGTTTTCCTGTCCCTTCCTGTCTTCTCATCTTTGCTTTTGCGCAGATGTTGCCCATTTGGTCTTGTATACTTGATTGAACTAAGAAGCACATTCCTCACATGTGTTATTGTTTGTTTTATAGGTCTGTCTAATCTTTGGCTGAAAGGTGGACTTTGGGAGTGGCTTCAGTTCTGAGTTAGCAGGGTGTCTGTGGGCCATAATCTTGGGGGTTCCTCCAGTCTCTGTCAGACCAGTAAGTCTGGCCTTTTTGTATGAATTTGAATTTTCTACGTTTTTCTCCTGCTCTGTCTGGAACGCTCTGTTGTGATCCCTAACAGAGTAGTTGGTGGCAGCCAGGCACCATCTAGTTCTTCTGGGCTCAGGCCGGTGAAGGCTGTGGTTCATGTGGTCCATTAGTCCTTTGGACTCACATTTTCCTTGTGTCTTTGGTTTTCTTCATTCTCCTTTGCTCGAAATGAGATGGGACCAATCGTTGTATCTTAGATGGCTGCTTGCAAGCTTTTAGGACCCCAGATGCTACTCACCAAAGTTGGATGTAGAACATTTTGTTTAGGAACTATGTTATGCCAATTGACCTAGATGTCCTTCAAGACCATGGTCCCCAGCCCTCGGCCCCAGTAACTCAGTCCTTCAAACTGTTTGGATGTGTTTAGGAAGCTTCTATGGCTTTGCCTTGGTCAAGTTGGGTTGACTTCCCCTATATTATGTGTTGCCTTTCCCTTCACCAAAGTTAACACTTGTCTACTATCTAGTTAATGATTTCCCCTGTCTACCTCTCCCCTCTCTCATAACCGTCTGTTATGGATTTAACTGTGTCCCCCAAAAATATGTGTCAACTTGGCTAGCCCATGATTCCCAGTATTGTGTGGCTGTCCTCCATTTTGTGATCTTATGTGATTATCCTGTGTTGTAAATCCTAATCTCTGCCTGTGGTTAATGAGGCAAGATTAGATTATGTTAAAGAGGATTATGGTGGGATGCAACACCCTTACTCAGGTCACAGCCCTGATCCATGTAAGAGGAGTTTCACTGGGGTATGGCCTTCATCACCTTTTATCTTACAAGAGATAAAAGACAAGAGTAGCGAGCAGAGAGATAGGGACCTCATATTACCAAGAAAGAAGCTCTGGGAGCACAGCACATCCTTTGGACCCAAAGTCCCTGCTCCGAGAAGCTCCTAGACCAGGAGGAGATTGATGACAAGGACCTTCGCCCTGAGCTGACACAGAGAGAAAGCCTTCTCCTGGAGCTGGCACCCTGAATTCAGACTTCTAGCCTCCTAGACTGTGAGAGAATAAATTTCCATTTGTTAAAAGCTTCTACTTGTGGTATTTCTGTTATGGCAGCACTAGATAACTAAGACAGAATTTGGTACCAGGAGTGGTGTGGTGCTCTAACAGATGCCTACAACGTGGAAGTGGTTTTGGAATTGAGTAATGGGTAGAGGCAGAGTTTTAAATTGTCTAATAGTAAAAGCCTAGATTAGCTTGAAGAGACTATTGGTGGAATTATGGACATCAAAGACAATTCTGGTAAAGGCTCAGAAGAAAGTGAGGAGAGCTGTAACACCAGAGACAATGTGGATGGCGAGAAACATCAGCAGAGAAGTGGCAGCAGCAGAAGAACCAGTGCA